TACTTATAAACCACGGCGGGTAGAGAAAGGGGTCGACCTTTTCTAGGTAAGGAGGCGTCGATTTAAGAACGTCCTTTAGCTTCTCAAGCCGCGTATTAGGAGGGCCGTCTCTGTTCTCTAGGTTTATCCTATTGTCAGCCACGATCACTCCGATAACACATGTTTCTCAGCCTCATTATTTAGTTGTTACACAACAGCCTTACCCCCTGCACTACTCATTTATCTACTGCAAGGAAGCAATGATCTCAAAGAGAAAACGTGTTCTTTTAGATAGCAGCATATATACCTCCATAGGTAGTAGTAATTTAGGACAAGCGGCGTCCAATTCCTCGCGCCCAGCTTCACAGGTTGTGTAGAAGTTAGGCTCGTTTCCGATTTCGATTGCGTCAAGTTGGTTGACCTTTGCGGGCATAGCATCAATGAACGCTTTTGCGAATTTGACGGCATTGTTTGAGTTTCTTCGTGCTAAAGGAACTTGAACAGTATACCGAACTGGCGCTTTGAAATTTTTGAATCCATGGAGCCAAGGCGTTCCAATTGTGCCGTTTGTGTGGAGGTGACAGACTGTAGAGTTTCCGGTAAAAACAGTAGGGCTTTGGCTTTGTGAGGAGTCGTAGAATGAATTGTCCATAGACGTGCCGCCAATGCGAATAGGGACTGGCACACCCGTTCGATCTGATATTGCCTTGAGAAGGTTGTTCGAAAACTGGTTTGGATTCTCTTGGCCTACCCAGAATACAGTGTAAGCATAAAGCAGAGGATTTGGTTGAAGAACTTACCAGCGTAGTGTGGGAAGCTTCTCATTTCGATCCCAAATCCTATAAATCCTTGGTTGACTTTGACGGCATTCTCGTCCGAGGTAGGTGATAGATTTATGTGAATTGTGGAAGAAGCTCGCAACGGGATGCCCTGTGCCGCAACTTTCACTTGAGCGACAGCGAAGACAAATGAACCGACAATAACACTGAACTTCATGGCGAACTTGGGTTTGTAGAAGATATTTTCTTGGGCCGTTCCTGTGCTTTTATACCTTTTCTTATTAGGCAAAATGAGGCGAGCCGGGAATGAGGCACTGAGATTTTCGAGGTGGAAACGGTAGAATGAGCCAACGGGACTTGCACTTGATTTGAGGGAACCTCTTAAATATTAATGTCGTCATTCCGTTTTCCGTTTGCGTAAGATATTAAGCATATGTTCCTTGTGTTTCATGCAAAAATGCGGGGTAAGGAGTCAACGCCATAAGCTTACTGTCGTACCGTCACGACTCGCGTACAACAACCGTAACCCGATCGGCAATAACAATTAGCCATCTGCATATATAGGTTATAGAGAGTGGGAGTCTGCTGGAGTTGAGAAAAGCCTCCTTACTATGAAAATTAATGATTTTTGTACGTAATCAAGTATTAGTAAATGTCTACGTAGTAGCATATGCCATATGTTTGTAGATAAACATATATCTTATACTTTATAATATGGATGTTATAACTTAGGCCGCTAGAGTAAAGCATCCGCTTATTTAGAGTTTCTTATTCTAGTTAATAGAATTACGCGCTGTGGTTGGGGGCTATATGCAAGGGGGTTGGGGGCTATGTGCGCGGTTGTTAGGGGCTAGTTGGGGGCTATATACACGGGTAGTACATTGCGATTACGCACTATGGTTAGGGGCTATATGTAGGGGTAGTTCATCGGAATTATGCATTATGGTTAAAGGCTATATGCAGGGGTAGTTAAATGTCAAACGCGGAACGAGATCCTTCAAGGCGGCCCTAGCTTCCGAAGGGTTTAAAAGCACACCACCAATCTTTCAACACTCTTTCCTCCCCCATCATCCCATCTCATCATCACTCAATCTATCTTATTACCTCTTAACTGCTTTGTCAACTATCTTAAACGGTTTACCGGAGTCAACATTCTCAGACAGAAAACATGCATTCCTCCACCCCCCTCCTCGCTGCCGCCATATTTTCCGTCCAGGCTCTAGGCGCCACCGTCTTCAAGCTCGAATCTGCTGGTTCCGGTTATTGCAAGATCAGCGCCGCCGCGTGCGGCTGCAGCGAAGTCTGGAAGGCCAACGGTGACTGCGAGACCATGAGCAGCAAATGGACACACGATTTCTGTGGAGGCACCCTCACGGCTAGCGAGGCGGACGACCAGCATATCCGCTTTGATATCACCATGTCCGAACCTGACTGCAAGGTTGCCGATGTTATTGAGAAGAAATCTGGCGCCGAGGTTAACTACTAAGCCCAAGTAACTTGAACGGTATGTGGCTATTGTACACTTGGGTGTTGCGATATACTTATTGATTACAGCAGGTATCTTGCTATTGGTTCATCCGGGTATTGCGAAACACTAATTGGTTGTCTATCGAATGGGCACGGTTACAACATGTATATAAGTTTGCACAGACTGTAGAGAGACCGGTTTTAGTCTATCTCATTCTTGCATTTTTAGCTAGAGCCCGCAACCAAGATTTTTATCCAAGCAGCATCGGTGACCTAGATGATAACGGATGTGAAGCGCCACTTCAGGTACGTGTATTAATTCTCCGGGTAGGTCCTGTAAAATGGACCTCGGCAGCGCGGAATTTGATCGGCGAGTGTTTTGCGTAGTTCCGGTCAGCCACCCACCACCCAACCTCGCGTCGCAAGCTCACCTTTCTCTTCGAAATCTCTAATGTCAACGCCATCTCTCGGCACCATTTGCAACTATGTAGAACTCGCTATACTTATGTTCCGGACAGCTTACCATCTTGCTGTCACGTCTGCATAGCGACGGTCGCAAACGCCGCGCGACGTTTCGCACCTACCTGAAATCTCTACAGATTCCAACTGTTCATCTTGTCTCAATACTTATGAGCACGATTCCGAAGCAAAGTACAGCCTTTACAAATACTGTCTCCCGCATGGATAATCTTGTGCGGAACCTGTTGCAGCGGCGCGCATAAGCAGCTCGTAGGAGAAGCGCGCTCATGATGTCAGCTCTAGTGCGCTGTTATCCCGTCGAGTGTTGCACACACGCCTGTGTGAGGAGGTAAGTGAGAGTTGTTGTTTCTCGCTTGTTGTCCAAGAACGAATCGTTAATACTTCGTGTTTGAGAAAGCATAGCGAGTTCACACATGCATTATCCATCCACCATCGACAAGACGTTCTCGAGGCTTCCCATGATCAGCTAGACCATCCCACACAAAGAAACGCCATTACGTGCTCAATGCTAGGATTATCGGAAATGTTGGTTTACAAAGAGAAATTGAAGTTAACGAATAGGAAAAGACGGCTAGAAGTCTATTAGGTAACAAGCGAATGTCGGTCAGGGGGGCTGCCACGGACACCCCGCAGTTTGTATAACATAAACCACAAGATGATCCTACTCCCCAGATTTCTCCGCACGCCAAGGTAATTTCTGGGGCATCTTTGAGAACAGCCAAGAAGCCATGTCCGCATGCCAAGATATCATCTGGCAGCTTTGGGGACGTCCATGTAGTCATGTGCATAGCCATGTCACCGGTTAGTACTTATAAATTCTCATACCCGTTCCGCCTCAACTGCATTCAACGCTATGGAAGAACCATTACTTGTTTCTCTTGTTACCCTCCCGCTCGATGTACTGTTGCCGATACTATCTTACCTTGATTTGTCAAGCTTCTTGTCATTATGCAGAACATGCAAAGCATTTCAAACCCCTGAAATCAGCTTCGACTCTGGATATTGGCGCAGAATAACATGCACGACTTTCCCTGGTCCTAATCAGCCCCTCATCCAGGGGGATGGAAGGCGCTGGCACGCCCTATTCCAGCGAATGCTTGCCCAAAGTCATGCATTCTCCTGGGGCAACAACAACAATGGATGCCTTGGTTATAAGACGAGGTTTCCCAGCTCATGTCATGTACCGCAGCCACACACCCGGAACTCGGAAAGATCGTGGCCTGATCGGATGGAACATACCGGCAAGCTTAGAAGTATTGCAGATGTGCAATGCGGTGATTTGTCGACTATTCTTCTTACTTCGAAAGGCGTACTGTACTCCGTCGGACGCCTAAGCCCTTTGAAATATGGTGCTGGAGGGAGCATAGAGCCAAGGTCGCTCAGTTTTCCTTTCATGTCCCTGACCAGTGCGCCCTCTGCTTTGTCTATTCGAGAGTTTTCTGTACATGGATGCCATGTCCTCGGACGTGCGGACAGTGGCAGAATATGGTACTGGACGGACATGAACTTTCCCGCAGAGCATATCCAGTTTACAAACATCAAGATCGAAGAATTCGGCGACTCATCCGCGGATGCAGAGACAAATTTCTTACTACGTGGCCGCATACGCCAAGTTGTAGCTGGAAAGAACGTACGATCTGCCTATGTCACGAACGTCGGGATCGTACTATGGCAGACTGCAGAACGTGGCACCAGTGGCACGGTTTCGCAGCATATTGTTGTCCCCAAAACTGGCTACCAGCGCCAAAACGGCAATGACTCTTCAGAAGCCAGTGATGAGGGCCGGTCCCTCGGTAGGGACGTCGGAGAAGTTGTCAATTACATCGTCTTGGAGCACTTTATTGTGTTTGTTACAGACATTGGCAGCTTTTTTGCAACAAGATTTCTCGACGCCTCTGATTTTTCTGTGGAAGACATTGTCGAGCTCAGAGAACTTCGCCATGACACGCATTGCAAAAGTAGTCGGGTGGATATTCAAGGCTCTTACACGTCGTTCGCAGCCCTCCGGGGTGGCGAAGTTATCACAGCGGACGAGAATTATCTGGAAGATTGCTGGAGTAATCGGACCATCCCAGAAACCAACTTCAAATCTGGCATAAAGCGAGTTCCGGCCCTCCAACATTCTGGCGTCACCCGCATCGCATTTGGTCGGTACCATTTCCACGCCCTTCATCGCGACGGCCGTATCAAATCTTACGGTATGGAACTACATGACAGCGGTTCCGTCGGGTCAGGCCGCGAAGGCCGCCCTCAAAGCCGTAGAAAGGAATTCAAGTACCCCGAAGAACTTTTTGGTAATACGCTACTGGCTCCATGTGCTTCAGCCCCACATGCTTACGCACGCAAATGTGCTGTATGGGTAGAACAAGACGAGACGGGCTGGGATGAATCTTTGGACTTGCGAGTTTGCGATGAGGAAGGTCTCAGCGCTTACCATGCGCTAACTATCGCGGCAGGGGCCGAACACTGCGCGGCGCTAGTACTAGTTAATAAGTCGGCGAGAGAGGTCGAGGCATAGTATATATGTACGAATAAGGTTCGTCACTGTGAAGCGAGGTTTACTATAAAGACAGACGATGATACTTATATAGGGCAAAAGAATAGACCAAATTAAGGTGTATAGAGTCTGTATGCTCTAAGAACTTTGCGCTTATACCCAGAACTCGGGCCGGGAGCTAGGTAAAGAGTACTCTGTAGGAACTGCTTTTATCGACCTACGCGGTGGATCTCGGTTCGCGGTGATGGACGTGACGTGCTTGTAATCGGCGAGCAACAACATGAAAACCCGCGCGACTTCACCTGATTTCTTTGGACATCTTTCTTTGTCAACGCCATTACTTTGTCTCTTATCTCAACCATACAAAAGTCGATCTGTCTTTGTTCTGGAACAACGCTTCAAATGTGAGAAATCCGAGAGCTAACCTATTCGCGCCGGTTGCAGGTAGGTTCAGCTCGCGTGAAGCTGGATTTCTCAAATGAAAATCATCGACTTTCCAATACCTGCTTCTCTCTTCGACCCTTGAAGGGTAACACTACGGTACCACTACCACGGCACGTGTGTTGTGAACACTACTGGCCCAAAGTTGTCCGGCTTATCACCCTCGACGATTAGAACCGGCCATTTCTCCTGCGAAATATCGAAGTCGACTAGGTCTTGTAGCTTCTGAGAATCCCTAAAGCTCCATACACCCAACAGCCTACGCTAGAAAGGGACGCGTTCAGCTATAAATTGATCCCAGTTGCCCCAGAAACACAGTGGCGTTGTCAGACCATTCCCTAGGCGCAGGAGGTAAGCTTCTCCGCTTTTATAGTTTTCATAAAAATCGGTCCCGGTGAACCGGTCGTACTCGTTTTATTCCCCTCCCAGGCCCAGATTTACATCAAAGGTAGCCGGGACGCCTGGTAGAAGGGTGACGATGCCGTCGTATGTGGCCGGCGTGTCTGAGTCGATGTGGATGTGTCAGCCAGGATCACTCCGATAACTCTCGGTTTTTCAGCCTTATTACAGTTAGTTGTTACACTACAGCCTTACCCCTTACACCACACGTTTATCCACTGCAAGGGAATAAGGATCTTAAAGAGAAAACGTGTTCTTTTAGATAGCAGCATATATACCCCCATAGGTAGTAGTAATTTAGGGGGACAAGCGGCGTCCAATTCCTCGCGCCCAGCTTCACAGGATGGTATCATCAGGGGGGCACCGGATAACCCTGTATGTCCCGGACTAGACTGCCAAGCCGGTAGAGAGACGGACGAAATTGTACTGGGATTGTCCCTGGTCCATATGTGGCTCCACGAGGCTGTACTTGCGCAGGAACGACAGCGGTGCGGGCGCCACTGGGCTAAGGGTCATGGTGACGCGGACAGTAACAGTAGGTTGAGCCTCGGCTGGGACATTTTTAGAGATAATACTCGGGCAGAGGTCGGCGGATATCTTCAAGCTCGGTTTCGCGGCACTGCTCGTAATGTATTTGAGGGGAAACTTTTCGCCGGCAGCATTTGCAGGCGGTAATATTAACTTGTCGACCCACATCATGATGTTGGGAGGCTTTGATGATGATAGGCAGTTAACGAGGAGCGCCGAGGTACTTATAGCCCTCTCATGGTGTTAGGCAACAACCGAAAGCAGGGTCCAAGTCATGATCCGGCCCCGGACCAACTGGCCCCAGCAGTAGAAGTGGGTCACCAACGCTGATGCTAAACTGGGCTGCGAATCATGATGAAACTAATTATATCCTAGTTTATCATCTATCCTACGAAAAACAGTTTATAGAGCTGAGCTGAGAATAGAAATTCAAAATGTAAAACTAACAGAAACAAAGGTGAAAGCAAACAAAAGGAAGGGAAGAAAGGACGAAAGTAAGCCAAAGAGCGATAGAAACAAAAAGGTGTAAACGAAAGAACCTCTATGGTAGAGAAAAAAGCCTTTCTATTCGACCATTCCGGCACGCAAAACCCTCGTGGCAAGTTGCAGGACGCTTACATAATTTCGCAGCCTTCCTTCTTACCGCACACTGCAGCAGGGACATTAATGTTGTTAACAGGCGGCTTGAACTTCTTCTTGCACATGACGGTAAAGTAAAGCTCCTATCATACGAAGTCAGCTGCTAAGAACAACGCCAGGCCTGTAATCGGGCTTCACATACTGTTGCAAACCAGGCGTGATTATCGGCATTCATGATTGCCTGCTTTGCGTTCGGGCCTGTGGCAAGCTTCCTCGTGTTTAAAGGGCCGTAGTATAAAGTCGGTACGTCCTTCTCTTCCTCCTTACTGCCATTCTTGACCTTCTTCTTCTCATAGGTTGTTAAATCTTCAATACTTGATAGCGTAGCAAGATGCATGAATTCCCCAGCATTCTTCATAACATAGGGCTCTACAGCATTGTAGCCAATAATGTTAATATGCCTGGATGACGCATGACATCGTTAGCGACTAATGCTGATAGTTATTAATGACATCAAAACATAGACTTACATGAGCTCATGCCACAAGACCATTGCGAAACTCATCATTTTATGGGATACATGGTCACCTAGGTCCTTGCATTTGATGTCATCCAGGTCCGGGAACTTAAAAGTTGATATCTTCTCATCATCCCGAATATATATTGCGAGTTGTGCAGCTCCATGAGGTCCCTTTGGTTTGTACTTGTTGTCCGCATAAAGAAGCCTAGACCCATGCGTACTTCTCCTTTCATAAACTGTTATAGTCTTTGTGAGTAGCGAATGAATTAGCAGATGCTACTGAATTATGAAGCGAGTGGTGGGGGAGGTTCCCCTTAAGCTGCAGTTCTTAGCCGGTAGACCACGCATAAAGCTAGTCCGATATTAGGTAATGCTAGATAGCAGAGAAATAAAGCACTAGTGATAAGACAAAGAGTATTTCTTGTTAATGCTCTGTAGATTCTAGGAATCTTATCTGCTAATGTTCAAATGACAAATCCATACTTTTCCTGACGTAACGCCGATGCCAATATTCTTCCCTGAAACAGTTGATTTATTCGGCCTGTACTCTGAGGGAAGCCAAAGCATGTTCCTGCCATCATGTGTGATCCATATGCTGTCTGAGCTGACGCCCGCGCCTTGATATTGGGGATGCT